TGTCCAAATGTTTTGATGTAGTGCCACATCAAAATTTACTTCGAAAACTTGCACTGTATGGCATTGACACGAAATGGTTCAGCAGTTATTTGTCTGATCACACTCAGCAGGTTAGGCTGTGTGCCGGTAAAGGACGGAACGTACTGTCGCGCTCACGAGAAAATAACATTGGTGTTTTTCAAGGCGGAGCGCTATCATGCGTCATGTACATGTTGTATGCCAACGACCTCAGCCTCAGTGTCTCAGATGATGTAACAATTGTCCAGTATGCAGACGATACACAGCTGTTGGTCAGCGGAAAGAAACGTGACGTGCAGCGAATGGTGGCCTGTATGGAGAACGCCTTACACCGTATGTATCAGTGGTTTTGTGCTAACGGCATGATGCTTAACACAGCTAAGACACAAATGGTCGTATTAGGTACACCAGCGATGCTGCGCGACCTGCCCTTAGTCTCCCTTCACTTTTGTGGCACTGTTGTTGCTGAGTCGCGAGCCGCCAAGAACCTGGGTGTTTACGTTGACCGCCATCTCAACTATGAAACGCACATCGACAATGTAACTAGAAAGTGCACGGGCATTCTTATTGCTCTGACTCATGCACGTCACGTGATCCCAAGAGTGACACTGAAATCCATTGTCGAGGCACTTGTCCTTTCCGTGTTACGGTATTGTTTGTCAGTGTATGGTTCGTGTGGCATGACGCAGCTTCGACGTGTACAAAAACTTTTCAACTTCTGCGTTCGAGTAGTGACGGGCAAGAGGCGATATGACCATGTATCTCAGTCCCTGGAACAACTGCAGTGGCTCACTGCTGAACAGCTTGTGATATATCACACTGTGTGTGCGGTCGAGCGGGTTATAGTTTCAGGGCAGCCTGAAAGCATCATGGCGACTATTGGTCTGCGGGCTGATCAGCGCCACAGCCATAACACGAGGCAGGGAAGCCTGTACACGCTCCCGACTATCCGAACTGAGGCAGGGAGGAGACGGCTGTGCTACCGAGGAGTAGGGCTACTGAACAGTGTCGGTGTGGAGCCCGGAACGTGCGGGTTCCGTTCTGCGGTCAGACGCGCTGTTAAGTCGCAGTAGGGTATACCCGACTTCATCATGTGCGTGATTGTAGCTGCCAGCTGGTATGTCTGTTTCGCCGTGTCCACAATGTTTTAATTCGCTTACGTGAACTAGTGAAAAGCCATTGTTTTATAATGGATCTTGTTCGAATACATCTATCTTATCTATCTTATCTTAGTGACCAAGCGTCATTGGAGCACTCCTAAGTCCCTAACCGTCCCGACGACCGGTTCTGGGTTCAGGTTCAAGTATCATTCTCTTGGCCTTCCTCCGAAGGCGATATCGGCCGAGTTGTAGTTCCTCTGCATTGACTTTTGGACTGCTGGCCTGCCTCAATGTGAAAGGCTGCCAGCGGCTTGGCGTTTTTTTTTTTTTGGGGGGGGGGGGCGGTCATCCGCCTCTATACCAGTCGGTGGGGCTGCTCTCGTCTGGTACTGTGGCTGCCGGTGTTGGTTGACCGTCGCCGAGCCCCTCGGGGGAGAAGCCGGACAGTGTGGAGTGGCTGGGCTGTCCTCGAATTCGGCTGGCCTCTCTCTGGGTTTGCAGCCTGGCGATCGCGTTGTGCTCCCAGGTGCCTCCGCCACCAAGGTGGCCGGCCGTCTGGGCGGCACGGTAGGCGGCTGCACGGAGTTGGTGGACTGCGGCGATGAAGCTCTGGATGGTGCAGCGCTCTCACTCTCAGTCTCATTGGAGTCCACGGCTTCCTATTAACCCGCGCCCCGTAGGGCTACCGGCGGACCCTACCACCCGTAGGGGGGGGGGGGGGCGTTTCGGCCCCCCCTAAGATCTCGGAAAGTTACCGGCCGATTTTCAAAATTCAAACGGCGTTCGATAGCCCCACCCGGGAACTACCTTGTGACCAAATTTCATTGACCTAGGTCAAACCGATGACGTCACAGGTCAGGTCAAAGGTCAGATTTTCACCGTTCACAGGCAATTCAAGAAATGTGCTGTGAAAGCGAGTAAATTGGTAATTTATTGAAAACCATCGATGATACATTGTTCGTCAAACACATACTTTGCTATCTGAGGTCACTGATACCAGGTCAGGTCACAGCGAGGTCAGGTCACCGGGGGTCACAATATGAATGTGTCGTGTGATACATGTTTTATGGTCCATTTTACATGACAAATGCGATTATGTGGGTTAGGCAGCCTTTGGGGCCAGCCTAGGTCACGTTTTGGTGAAGGTCAGGTCAAGGTCAGGTCAAATTAGGTCAAATTTCAAAGTTGATATTTTTGCATAAAATGGGTATCGATTCGATGCAGCTCGTCACGGGGAGTTTAATGGTGGTCTTCGTTTTGCTCTACGAGTTCTAGAATTGCCAAAAATTGAGTTTGAAAATTTGACGTCATCATTTTTGAACAGTTTTTTTCGCTATAACTTGGCCAAAAAACGAGGTATCGATCTGAAATTTGGTATGTAGATAGAAGACGGTAGGCACTATCACATATATTCCGGTTTTTTCGAAACTCAAAAAACTTTTTGGATTTTTTTTTTGCGAATATATCCAAAAAATGCTTTTTTGATTTTTGGGGGTCAAAACTCAAAAATTTCAAAAATTCGAGATAGCAGTTTTGTAGCCCTGTCAATTCTACACCTTTCATGTCTGATCATTTTTCTGTATCTTCAAAGCTGTAGTCCTGACAGGTCTTCTCGCGAAGGTCTTTTTTCGGTCGAAAATGACAGAACATGACGTCACTCTGACGTCATTTGTGGCCAACCTATCATAGCCTCTGGAATTTTTTTTTTGTCACAATGTGTAAAATTGATGCCCGGAGGGGTCCTGAAAGTTTGGTGGCGATATCTCCAGCCGTTTAGGAGATATCGACCGAAAAGGACAGGGGGGGGGGCCGTTTCGGCCCCCCCTACGGAGCGCGGGTTAAGCAGCTTGGGTGGCTTTGTTCTTGGCGCACACCTAGATGGTTTATGTAGCTGTCGTCCACATCAGAGTCCGGCGTGTTTGTTCGCCGGTCTCCTGCTGCTTCTCTGTTCCGAAGTGTGCTTGCAGCACCGGGCAGCTGCGCTCCCACGCTGCGTGATCTCCGCTGCAGTGGGGGCAGCGCCGGTCGGGCTGTTCTTGCAGGCATGGCCGTGTGATGCTTCCCGGAACATCGGAGGCAGTATGGTTCCACCGCCGTCCGGCACCGCCTGGCACTGTGTCCGCACTTGGAGCAGTGCCATGGATACCCAGCGGACTGGGTATCCATGGTCTGAGCTGGAGACCTTGGAATCCCGCTCGGATGGTCTCTGGGATCGCGTTTCCAATGAAGGAGAGGCGCAACCCTGGGTGCTGCCGCCCATCCTTAGAACGGAGTTGACGTACACCCCGACTACGCCCTGGGGTCGGAGTTCTAATAAGATCTTCTCAGGGACATTGGGCAGGGACATGGCGTAGGTCAGAGCTTCTATGATGTTCTGTCGGAGGGCTGGTTCGCAGGTCACTGGATCTTCTATGAAGCGATCTAGTTAGAGGAGAGTCTGCTTATTCGGGGCTGAAGACGGTGATCAGGAGCGCGCCAGATGACGTGGGCTTCGCAGCCTGCACCTCCCCAATCAGGGTGCGGATTTCCCCAGCGATCAGGAAGGGGCTGACCGCGGAGAATGATCCACCGTCTTGATGCTGAAAAAGATGCTGGAGCACCTCGGCGGTTCAGCTGCTTCGCTGTCCATGGCTAACTTCATAGGAGCGATCTCGGATCTGCTGTGATGGTTCTGGGCCAATAGCAGCTCAGAGGTGCTGCACGGTCGAGACGGTGAGGCATCCGCCGGGGATTCTCGTTTGGGGCCTGCTGGGCTACACACAGAGGTCTCTCTGAGCTTCACCAGGTGCCGCAGGGACAGACCGAGACCGCTGATTACTTGTCAGCCAGGTGGTGGAGAACACTGACGCAACTACGATGCAGCGAAAAAGGAAAATACTTTACAAACTTATTGACTTTTGCCACACATGTGCAAGTACATACATATTCGAGCAGGAATGAATAATGATTTCTGGCTCATTACGCTAGGAAGACCAAGGACTGGTGCCGAGCGAACCGCTAGGAAGACCAAGGATTGGTGCTGAGCGAAGTCCCCTGGCTTCTGAGAGAAGGGACATGGCCTGGCAACAGTCCAGACCTGTCCCGGATCGAAAACCTCTGAATGATGGTCAAACAAGAGCTTAGCTAGCTACCGTCCGCCAGCTAAATAAAGATCAAGACGCTGTTCCACAACGCGTGACCGGGGCCTTGTGAGCGGCGTGGCGGAGTGTTAAAGGAGAAACTCGACAACCTGATATGTGACATGTCAGAGGGCATGATGAGTGGTACCTATACGACTGAAGGAGGACTATAATGGTAATCAGCGATAAATCAGAAATTATTTAAAGTACTTTAAAAGTTATTGAGGAAAAAACAACCGCGCATCAATTTCTGGACGCCCTGTAATATGTATTATATTAAAATGTGCTCGATGTTTGAGTGCTAAGAACCTACCTACCTATCACTGTCGTCCAAAGAAGGCCACTTCAATTTTATTCGATTGACATAAGTAGGCAATAGAGAGGTCGCAAAATTGACCTGATATTAAGTCACCAAAATCAGCATCCAGCGACATGCAATTGTTGTACGTTGGTACTGATTTCCTCATGCATGATTATGAATACCCGTAGTTTACCGGCCTTGTCACACTCACTTCTCCAGGCGTGTAGAGTCCGCCGCCTACTGGTCAACGGATGTACTTGTGGTACCAATCTTTGGCGCAAAGGCCTGTGGAGGACCCGAAGGTTGCCATTTCACCCCAGCCCACTTCACTGTGAATCTGCACTGATGATAAGTGCTTTAAAGGTTGATGCAGTCTGACACGACATAGCCTGTCTATTTACACAGCAACTTAGGACGGTACTCCCATGTGGAGTCTGGACCATAGGTGACCGAAATAACAGCTCAAGAGCATCACTTTATTTCATTCATCGATACATTATAACGCATACAACAGCAATATAAACCTGATATTACAGCTCACTATACATATAGCAATGCAAGATATAACCTCCCAGTGTACATTCCCAGCTGGGGCACCTGGTGTGCCCGTTGAGACGCCCTGGCTCGTGGCTAAGCCCCTTTTCCCTGCGGTCAGATGAAGCAGCGAGCGCTGCCGACTGGCGGCACCAGCCTGACAGCCGCCGGTCGCACAATATCAGCTCGATATCCACAGTCCGCAGAGCCCCTCGATGAAGCCGGCATCAGACGGCGACCGCATGTCTCCGCCATACACAGCCGCCGGCCGCGCAAACCCAACAGAACGCTGGCGGTTCGGCCGGCCCTCACGGCTCGCTCCCAGTCGTCTGGCCGAACGGGATGACCAGCGACTCGCCGGGCGTCACCTGGATGGCCTGGACGGCCTCCAGGAGCCGCTCGGCCGTCTGCCGCGCCCGCCGCACGTCGTCGGGCCGTGCCGGCGGCTCGGAGAGCAGGCGCTGCGCCAGCGGCGGCGGCACGTCCTGGAAGGCCAGCGCGGGCGGCGGCGGCGCGCTGAGCCGCGCCAGCGCGCTGCTGTACTGTCGACACCGCTCCACGTAGTCGTGCTGCTCCATGTTGGGCGTGTCCACGGCGGCCACGTCGATCACAGAGGCGGCCATGTCGTGCAGGATGCCGTCCAGCAGTGTCTCGCCGTCTCCGCGGGCGCGCGCGTCGCCGGCGCGCGGTGCGGCCTCGGCCGGCGGGTCGGCGCCGGACTCGCCGGAGCCGGTCAGACGCTGCTGCTCGGACAGCAGTGCCGTGCGCTCGTTGGTGTCGCCGGCGTCAGAGCCGTCAGAGCTCTCTGTGCTGCAGCAGCAGCCCATGGCCAACGCTGCTAGGGTGGCCTCTCCGCCACTGAAACAATCACAAACGGTTTGTCACAGCGCTGGTCACGAATGGTCCGTCAGTGCGCCAACCTCTGTCTGTCAGCAGTCAACACACCGGTCACAGTACAAGGGCGAGGCACAGGTCAAGGAGGAAGAGGAACTCAAATATCTAGACCTAGGAAATGTGATTGCAGCACCAGCATTATGTTTCCATCAAAAGCAAGGGAAGCACAGATTGAGTTTCACAACATAACACAGCAAATAATATCACAAAACTGATAAGGAAAAGAGGAAAGCTTTTCTGATACAAAGTTGGGTTTGTAAGAGGCAAAGAACATGCCAAAATGATATTGAGATGTTAGCATCCATCAGGTGGTAGACTGAGAACAAAAGACACTACTCTTCAATGATGTTTTTTTTTTGTTCAATATCAAACCTTCATCATTCTTACAGTGATTGCCACCAAAATGCAACAAGAGAATTAACATATTTCTATTGATTCCAACCACATGCTTTTATCATATCAATATACCACAGATTTTCCATAAGCACAACTGGTGCTGACAAACATCTACTGAAAAATACATGCTTGCAGCTTGCAAACTTTAAACTGTGTTCACAGCTCACACACATGACACAATGTCACCAGAAACACTAGCGTACAAATATGAATAAGAAATATCATCCTTCTCCACTCACAAAACTAAAAGTGGGCAAGTATCAAACTAGTCCTTATAAAACACATGACCCAACATGCATCAAATGGCATAGCATATGGTATGGGCATAACATCACAGTACTTAGTCTTAACTCTGAACCAAAACAAGGCATATTTTTGCTCAGAACTGGTCTCAGTTGAAGAAAGTCAAGTGTTTTCATCACCTTTCAGTTTTGATCATTTTCAGCCCTATGCAAAATTATAGCATTGAGAAAGTGGCTCCATGACTTCTTTACTTGATAGGTATGTGGCTAATGCTTTCAATCTACAATTTTTAAATCAAATTTAATTATACTTAAGTAAAATGCATGTTTAACATTAACTTTGTGCTTCTAATAACCCTTTTTATGGTGGAATTTAATAAAGTTTTTTTGTGCCCAAGCAGAAGGAAATTTGCAAAAATGTATTGTTTTGTATAAAATAATGTTGGAAAATGACAGACAAATAACAGGATGAATTTCATATGAAATCCAGTAGGTTTTTGCTACAGATGAAACCACTAAAATTGAAAGAGAAATGAAATTAACGATCATGAAGTAACTTGAGTTAACACAAAGGTAGCTACCTACACTTAAAAATCAAAACAAAATTAATGTTTTAAGCTAAAAGTTGAACACGAACATATCCAGGTCCTTCTGCACTGCTGAATATGTGTCGAGTATAGTGCTTAACCATAGAACCAGATTTAAGATAATCCTCCATCTCCATGACAAAAATGCATCCAACCATGGTATCAATACTTAACAACAGCAGCAGTTAGTGCATGAGTGGTCTGTTGTTGTGTATTATTTACCTACCAGCTACCCCCTTGGCCATGACTTGCAGGGCCACGGCGTGGCCCTTTAAAAATAATCCTAAAATGTTCTGTCATTTTTTCCATGTATGGCTTCAAACTTTTGAAATTTTAAAATTGAAACTACATTTAAGCACAGTCCGAAACGTCCAAAAGACAGGTTGATGCAGGCGTCAAATGAAGTGGTTTATGTGCCCAGCCCAGATCAATGAAGAAAGCTGAAATTCAGTAAAACATGAATGAAACTTTTTCAGCATGTTTAACATTAATTTTTTGTATTTCAATGTGCTACGAAGTACCTACTTACCTTACCTGCCAAGTGCCTACGTGCTCCTGGACGCTGAGTAAGATTTTTAGCTTCACAGTAACAGAGCAAAAAAGCAATGATAAAAGGTAAGAAAGGAAAGTGAACAAAATCAGAGCGCTTACCTGTAAATAGGTCACAAATATTTTCAAATAACTTTAAAGCAGCTTCACACGATGTTGATGTGTTATTGCAAGAAGGGCACTATCATGCACGCATGCCAATTGCGCCTATTGCAAGAATATTCATTTTGCATCAGTAATGCCGCAAATGCCGCATATGGAAGCGATGAAAAAAGTAGGTGGCAGCAATGATTCAAGTCATTGCTGACGTTTGTTGGACGTTCGTAGCAAGGCTTCTGCCATAGGCGTCGCCAGATTTTCGGTTGGGGGGGGGGGGGCAAAATCAACTTTTGTGTTAACCCGCGCCCTGGTGGGGTCTGTTTATAACGCGACCTGGTGGGGGGGGGGGGGGCGGGGGGGCTATTTTTTGCCCCTCTCGTATCTCCGAAATTGCTGGACGGATCCGCAAAATTCAAACGGCGTTCGAAAGGCCTGTCAAATTTGTGAAGGGAAACCAAATTTCATTGACCTCGGGGTCACCGACGACGTCACAGGTCAGGTCAAAGATGAAATGTTTCACCGTTCACGGGTCTTCTAGGGAATGCGCTATAACACCGAAGAAAACGCATTTTGTCGAGAATCAGCGATAGGGCGTCAGTTGTCTAGTACATATGTTGCTATAAGAGGTCACTGACAATACCAGGTCACGTCAAAGGTCTGGTCACATGAACCTAACTTTAGGTACTAAGGTTGTGCGATGCATGTTTTATGGCCAATTTTTTATTCCCAACTCAATGGTGTTTGTAATAAGACTATCAGGTACGGCTTAGGTCACTTTCTGGTGAAGGTCAGGTCAAGGTCAGGTAAAAAAAGGTCAAATTTTAAACTTGATAGTTTTGCATAAAATGAGTATTGATTCGATGCAGCTCGTCACGAGGAGTCTAATGGTGGTCTTTTTTTGCGCTATGGGGTCTAGAATTGCTAAAAATTGAGTTTGAGAGTTTGACGTCATCAATTTTGAACAGTTTTTTTTTCGCTATAACTTCGCCGGTAAAAAAGAGTTATCAATCTCAAATTTGGTATGTGGATAGAAGGCGGTAAGAACTATCACATATGTTCCGGTTTTTGCGAAATTCATTTTTTTTTATTTTTCGGCTATTATATTCAAAAAAATATATTTGTCGATTTTTAGGGGTCAAAATCCAAAATTTTCATAAACCTAAGGTAGCAGTTTTGTAGCCCTGTCAATTCTACAGCTTTTATGTCTCTATCGTTTTTCTGTATTTGCAAAGCTATAGGCCTGACAGCTCTTCCCGCGAAACCCTTTTTTGGGTCGAAAACGGCAGCACATGACGTCACTCTGACGTCATTTCCGGCCAACCTATCATAGCCTTTGGAAAATTTTTGGTCACAATGTGTAAAATTGATGTCCGGGAGGGTACTGAAAGTTTGGTGACGATCGGCGCAGCGGTTCTGGAGATATATCGAAAAGTTGAGTAGTAATAGACAAATATATATATATTGAGACGGGTTACACAGCACATTGGGTGGACGCGTTTCGTCTAAATGACTTTTTCGACACCCTCTCGGAAATTATTGTGTTTGTATTGTTTTAATTTCCGAGAGGGTGTCGAAAAAGTCATTTAGACGAAACGCGTCCACCCAATGTGCTGTGTAACCCGTCTCAATATATATATATATATATATATATATATATATATATATATATATATATATATATATATATCGAAAAGTCTGGAGGGGGGGGGGGCAAAAAATAGCCCCCCCCCACCAGGGCGCTGGTTAAATCTTGCCTTTCCCCAGTCGTTACTCACTCGTGCTACATATCATTCGACGCGCAATGGTGCGAGGAATCCGATGGTGACAAAGTTTTCCTTCTAGCTATAACATGTATTTTTTTACAGAAAAAAATCGAAATTTTGAAATTTCTGGACAAAAATGACCGGTAGAATTACAGTGGCTGCAATTGCCGACGCACTGCAGAGTGCCCTTGTGCAGACGCTCGTCGCTCATGTTTCATCAGCACCCAGAAAAAAGGTGAAAAAACGTTCCATTTAATCGGATCACCCTGCTAAAACCTCCATTCTCGCATGCATGCAGAGGTTTTACATGAAATGCATAGGGCTTATCCTAGGCCCCAGCCGCTAATTGTAGCTAAGTTGGGCATTCGGTGGAGAGTGAATGTCGGAAGTGTGAATCGGAAGTAGTTCATCTTTGCTCCAATGAGAGGAATTGTTTTGTTCACTCGAGTGTGAACAAAAAGTTTCTCGTTTTTCGTGTGAATGGAAACAATTAAGTTTAACGCCAACCAAAAGTTACGCACGGAATAGCAGCAAGGGATCCCTTAGAGATAGGCTTGGGACTTCCAGGCCATTTTAGGCCACTGAGGGTCCGTGTGGACTCTCAGAAGTCAGAAGCCTGCTTAGGATCCCGGAGATCGGCGTGGGTCACCCCAAGTATGTGGTGTTTTAGGGCTTTCCAAGCCCAAGGTGGGACCCTCAGAAGCCAGTGTGGGCGGCGGGCGCTAAGAGACTAGCCCCAGGGTGAGCCTGGAGCCCTCGGATAACAGTGTGCACCGTCGGTGTCTGTGTCGAATCCCTAAGGACCCTACGTAGGGGCATAAGAAACATGTGTTGCGGCCCTAGGAGGGACACGTGAGCTGTGACCCCTCAGATGCCGGCTTGGGGTTAGCAAAGTCTGTCGCCTGAAAAGTTCGGCTGAACTATCAGAGGCCAGTTATGGTTTTCAGAAGGCATCCTTAAAGATTCGTGTGGCCCTTCAGAGGTCTACGTATGTACCTATAAGGCCCTCAAAGATCCCTATATGGGCCCTCAGAGAACATGGACACCAGTGGGACTCTCAGAGGCCGGTTTGGGCCCTCTGAAAGCTTCTTGGAGCTCAGTGGAGCTCCTTAGGAGCCTGTGTGAAAAGCAAACTCATGAGCCCTGTGGCACCTGAACGGTACTTGAGCCTGTCGCAGACATTTGACGAGAGTTTAGAAAGGCCCCGAAGATTTCGTGTCATGCTTTGAACGAAAATTATGTGTCAGCACTCCAAAACTTATGAAAATCAGCTATGAAAATATAATAAAGAACCAACTAGGAACAGGGAATGAATCACAGTAGGCATTAACATTTCCGAGTTTGGAGTCGGAGTCTTGAAGATTTTGGCGACTGCGACTCCGACTCTGGTTTGAACTGCACGCTCCAACCGAGTCTGATCTCACAGGCATTCCCAGAAAGGTACCCCCATTTTTTCCCGACTCCAAAATCTCATCGGATCTGTATCGATCTTAGGGGGTGCCCGGTCCGAGGTTGGGGGGGGGGGGGCAAGCTGCCCCGCTTGCCCCCCCCCCCCGTGGCGACGCTGCCTTCTGCAGGCCCAAGGCCATAAGGCTGGGCCGGCCGCCGGCACAGGCGTCTACTTTAGTCAGTGTAACTAGCCTTTGATGCAAAATAGGCATCTAAATGATCTTTCATGGGCAGAGTGAATGTAACCAACGATTTACCAGTAAAACGCCTTTTGGGCGACCAACGGAGCGAGCGAGAGGATGGGCCTTGCACGTGCGAAATTGCGAGGGGGTACCTCCAACTAACTTGTGCACTGCACCCTACTAATCGGTCTTTAGCGATGTGCCAAATTTCAGCGCAATCGGCCTAGCCGTTCTCGAGATCTGGAAGCGGCACACTGCACGTGCGCACGTGCAAGCGGGGTCCAAACTGACTTTTGCACGGCACCCTACTAACTGGTCCCCAACCGTGTACCAAATTTGAGCGCAATCGGCCAAGCCGTTCTCGAGATCTGGGAGCGCCCCCTGCACGTGCGCACGTGCTGTAGCACCCCAACCTTAACACATGCAGATGAATTATCTGATGGAGACCTAACTGTGTACCGAGTTTCAATTCAATCGGCCCAACCGTTGTGCCGTTATTGAGGTTGCAATTTTGGGGGTTCTTAAAAAATGTCCAACTTTACCACGCGCCACGTGCGGTGGTTGGCAAGAACGCATGGTGGTCATCACACCACATAACTTTGACGTCCAAGTGACATTCAGTAAAGAAGACCGCTTGTCAATCGGATGTCCCGTTCCTAAGATATTAGCTTTTGAAGAGCGTCCCCACGGCCGGCCGGCCGGCCGGCCGGCCGCTCATACTCAGGATTTTCCCTTAAAGGTAGACTGCCACCTTTTTTTTCCACAAAACGGTTTTCACTAGAGCTGAGCCACCTATGTCCCAGACTGAAGTCGGTTTTCCGAAATTCGAACCCGTTTGCGAGAAATCGGAGACCAAAGTTCAGTTTGATGCCATTTTTTTAGTCCAAGAAAACCGACATCTCTACTGTTTATCGATCAAACTTTGAAACATGAATTTTCTTATCTTTTGGTAAATATATGTCAAAACTTTGATTGTTTCGAGATCAGAGAAGAATTTTGGAGTGTCAAAATAAAAGTTAAACTTATATATTCAGTAGTTCATTTTTTCCAAAAAAGTGTGGGAAATGGGGTTTAACATGGGCCAGACCCATTCCAAATGAGCCATGATTTTTAAATGTTTTACGAACTTAAATGCAAACTAAATTAAACATGGCCAATTTCTTATGAAATCATATATTAGTAAATCATAAAATATCTTACTTTTTCAAATAAAATGTAATAATCTTATGACCTTGAAGTCTAGTGATGTGTAAACATTGTCGCTAGACATTAACCGATTGATAATTGTATGATAATCGACATTTTTTTCGCGATTCACGTGATGATACTTTGTCAGGTGAATTCTAAAATTTTGTTTTGTCCAGGGAATAAATCATAGGCCGATCTGAGAAAACTTTTTGAATGTGGCAGTCTTCCTTTAATTCAGTATGAGACTCCGCTCGCTTCGCTCGCTCCGTAATCAACCCGCAGCCTGATGGGGTCTGCCGAGCAACGCGGTGTGATGGGGGGGGGGGGGCATTTTGCCCCCCCTAAGATCTCGAGAACCACGCAACATAGCGACAAGCGACAAACGGCGTTGGATAGCCCCAATAGGGAACTACCTTGTGACCCAATTTCATTGACCTCAGTCTAACCGATGACGTCACAGGTCAGGTCAAAGGTCGAATTTTCACCGTTTACAGGCATTTCAAGAAATGCGTTGTAAAATCGAGTGAAATGCATTTCATTGAAAATCATCGATGGGGAAATGTTCGTCAAACACATATTTTGCTAGGGAGGTCGGTCACTGATACCAGGTCAGGTCACAG